ATTTACCCGCATTTTTTATACGTGGTAGAGCCATGCTGCAGTTATGTTAGTAAAATAGTTGTAGCACGAATGGGAACCGGTACAGGACCATGCTCTCACAGAATACCAGCGTAAAATGATAGCTTAATGCTGCTGTGTTTCGTATGGTGTGTGTAGAGAACTGGAGACACTTTTTACTGGAAACGAGGCGTTCCATCTTAGTCCTCACGGGTGACAACGCATCTGAATTTTGATTTGTAATCGAGGATAGATGTAGATGTCTATGTGCCGCAGCAACCACTTGTCATCAGGTGGACTGTGTGCTCGTTGATCACCCTATCCTATAAAAAAATCCCGTGGGAGTCGTGTCAGGTAAAAGAGGGAATCTGAAGCAGGTGATGGGCAATAGCATCTTTCTGATAAAGACTTTAAGATAATAAAAATAATACCAAGCGTGGCAACTATGAAAAATGTACCCACTTTCTCCCTTATGAGGGGGCGGCTTTTGTAATGATGATGATAACCATGATGACATATTAATTTATATATATATTTATGTTTGCATCTGTATCACGGTACACGGTATCATCGGTATCATCGTACTAATGGGTCCATTTGATGACCACGCTCTCACAGAAGCATGGGTCGAATAGACTTGAGGAATATTCTCTTTTTTTTTTCTGAAAGTGTTTGCTGTTGGTCCAGCGGGTCTCATGAGCCATTGAGTGCAACGGTACCGCGTTTCGCTGTCGAGGGGAGCCCGCATCATGGACTGCAGTTCCAAGGCACCCCAGCCCCTGCTGTTGGAGTGAGCTCGATGTGATTCAAGGGCCCCTCTGAAGGAGGTACGAACCTCGTTTTAAACAACTATCGTTATGAGGGAAACTGGTCGTAATTAAAAACGGCCCCGTATTGCGGTTGTCAAACCTCGTGTACGGGGTGTCCCTAGTACAGGGTGGGGCAGCATAACTTCCTTATTTGTAATGCGCGCCATTCGGTCAGGTGACATCGTAGTGGAGCGCTAGTGGTCTCGTTCGAGAGGGGGGCTATAAAGTTTAGTCGAGACAGCTCAGTCGCCATAATGCGTTGGAACAGTGAGGAGCGTGCGTTTGCTGTTGAGGCTTACTTTTCGCGCGGATGTTCTGTGATTGCAACCCAGCGCGCCTTTCGAAATCGCTTTAATTTAGCCCCGTTGGCCCCTGTTCCAGACCGAAAATCAATTGTTATGTGGGTCACTACGTTTAGACAAACTGCAAGTGTGACAAAACGAAGAACTGGAGTCCCTCGGCCCATTAGATCACCTGAGAACATTGAGGCAGTCAGAGCTTCAAGGTTGCGATCACCACGGCGTTCTGCGCGCAAACATGCATCTGCCCTTGGACTTTCCAGTCGTTCTGTGCGGAGAATTCTCCATGAAGACTTACATTTCCATCCATACAAGATGGCGACTGTACAGGAACTGTCAAAACGTGACTACGATTCTCGCAGGAACGCATGTGAGATTCTTCTGGATGTCGTTCCTAAGGACGCTATTGTTTTTTTTAGTGATGAAGCACATTTTCACTTGTGTGGATCCGTGAACAAACAAAACATGCGCTACTGGGCTGACACCAATCCTCGAGAATTGCATGAAAGGCCTTTGCATTCACCTAAGGTCACAGTGTGGTGTGCAATTTCCTCAGCTGCAATTATTGGTCCCTGGTTCTTTGAGGAAAATGAAGTCACAGTAACAGTGAATTCGGGCCGGTATGTAAACATGTTACAGGAATTCTTTTTACCCCGGCTGAATGCGTTGGACTTGGGAGACATTTGGTTCCAACAAGACTGTGCAACGGCACACACTGCAAGAGCATCGATGGCTGTTTTGAGAGAACACTTCCCAGAACGCCTTATCTCAATCAGGGGCGATTTGCAGTGGCCGGCCCGATCTCCCGATTTGTCCCCTTGTGACTTTTTTCTATGGGGTTTTTTGAAATCCCGTGTTTATGTGAACCGTCCAAGGACCCTACAAGATTTAAAGAACAACATCCAGGAAGAAATTGCCAACATAACGCTTGCTCTGCTTCAAAGAGTTATGACAAACACCAGAAATCGGTATACTCAATGTATAGAGAATAAGGGACGTCATCTACCTGATTTGATTTTCAAAACTAAATAAAACAAAACTTTAAGTATGTACTTACATTGTAAAAACCAAATAAAATTTTTCCGATTCATACAATGTGTTTTATTAGGTTTTAAAAAAAGGAAGTTATGCTGCCCCACCCTGTATTCTGTACTAGTATAGTGTATGAATGTGTAGGAATATTCTCACATAAGCAAGCGTTTAAAGCAGCTTAATGTTACTATGTTTAGTACGGTTAGTGGCAAGACAATAATACTTTTTACCGGTAACGGAGCATTCAAATTAGTATTAGAGGTGTCATCGAATTTGCGTTTTGGTTTTATAGATTTAAAAGTGTCTATCGACCGGAGCATCTACTTACCATCAGATGTGTGCCTATTCATCGACATTTGTAAAAAATATATGTGATACTTATTAATCATAACTTATATAGGAAAAGGAGAATCATTCGAATCGGCTCAGCTGAGAGCTTAATTACAACGTGCTCTGTTATGAAAGAATACATCATAGGAAATCTGCATGTTGAAGAAATTAAAAATATTTTGAATACTTGTGAAGTCCGCCAACACGTATTGGGGGAGCGTGGCGGATATTTCCTTGCCCTAAAATCTCAGAAATTAGAGGAGGCCCAGCAGTAGAACACATTTAGGACTTAACTTTACGAAGGAATAAGAGGCTTGCAGAGATCCGAAAAGAAAAACCAATTTACAATTTATTTTTTACAATTTATTAATGTTTTTCAATTATACAAACATTATAAAAAGAAAAAAACTATATTTCGTTAGAAAACCTATTTTTTCGAGAACCTTAAAAGACTGAAAAGTACAAGAAGTTTAAAATATCCTTTAAATCCGTTAAAAAAAATAGGCGGTGCTGCAGTCCCTCCAGTGATACCTAGTTGACTATCGGTATATCGAAGTGCTCAAGTGTTTGTACAGTAGCGTACGATGGCTATTCGAGTATAAAACCAGAGTACCAAACCTATCCAACTGCAGACAGGTGTAAGGCAGGGTGAAGTTATGTCTTCAAAACTATTCACCGCTGCATTGGAAAATGTTTTCAAGCTACTGAACTGAATTGGATAGGGTATTAACATCAATAGCGAGTAAATCACTCACCTTCGATTTGTCTTGATTTGTAATCGACGATATCCTTATGGCAGAATCGCTGGAGGACCTAAGCACTATGCTCAATGACCTCAAAAGTGCTTCCCAACGGATATGCCGGTAGTTTTTGGGAGCAGTAAGCTCAAAGTTGTTTACGAGTATATTTACCTGGGATTAAGAGTCAGATTAGGTAAGTCCAACTTCGACCGAAAGGTCAGTCGACGGATTCAACTCAGCTGGGCAGTGTTCGGGGGAGGTGGGTTCTTCAGTTTACTTATACGACTAAGTGGCAATCGGCTGGCCATATAGCTCGAAAAACCGACAATCGATGGGGAAGAAAGGTTTTTTGTACTAGTAGGCAAAGTTTAGGGCGGCTCCCCACTAGATGGGGTAACGACCTGGTAAAATAAATAACCCTTTGCGTTTTCTATCGCATCAACCACGGGGAGTGCTCTAAGGAATTGTTCGGATTAATCCCAGCCGCCAAATTTCATGAACGCACGTCGCGTCAAAATTCAAGAAACCATCCTCACCATCTTGATGCTTGTCGGTTCACCACTATGTGCTTTACCTCCTGGTTTCCTTCCTAGTACAACTTCTTTGTGAAATTGTTTACCACCGGCGATTTGTTCGGACCGATACGACTTAGAGACCTTCAAAAAAAGAGTTTCTTTTTAAAAGGCCGGTAACTCACCTACAATTCCTCTGGTGTTGCGGTTGTTTATGGGCAGCGTAGTCACTTATTATCAAGTAAGTCACGTGCTCGTTTGCCCTGTTTTCTATAAAAAAAAGATATGCAAGAAGTCGATATATGCAGGTGGGTCAGAACCGTGCTTTATGGCATTCTTTAGAGAAGGGCTACGTTTATCAGTGAAGGTGTGAGGGTGAATTGAAGGGCTTTAATGATATCTTATGGTATCGAAGATGAATGAATGATGAAGAATATGAATATCTGCACAAAATATATTCTTTGCAAACGCAGGTGTACGAAAAGAAAAATAATTTTGTCACACAAATATATATTTGAAATTAAAATTATATCGAAGAAAATACCTTGTTAAATAACCCAATTACATAGACGTATGACGTATGAATGCCTGATATTCTCATTACAAAAGTGATACGGGATTCGCACTGCAAAGCAATACATTATCGATGACTGATGTATTGTAAGTGCTATAACACGTTATTTGTATACATATTGTGAAGCATTTATATATCTTATTCACCTTGTAATAGAGTTGTTTTCATATCAAATTGAATTGCGAAGCCAATTAATAGTCCATCTGTTGAAAAATGGCTACTGTAACCCATGGAGACCCGTAACCAACTTAAAATAAAAAAGGCCACAGATGCGTTGTCACCGTTGTGTATAAAGATGGAACGGCTGACAGCCCTTATCATTCTGGCTCCCTATGCCGTTGTACAGCAGTGTAAGTATTGCTGCTTGGTGGCATAGAGAGGGTATTACTTATGCGGAACTGAATAGAATCATTTTTTCATATACTGGGTGGTTGAAAAGAAACTCTCTATCTTTATCTGGTTGTTAACTTTACCAGCTTCAGCCAATTTCATGTAATCTTATGTAATTTTTTTCTTTCTAGATTGATAATTAGGTGAAACACCATAAAATGGCTCAAGGGTGATTGTCAATTCAAGAGCGAGCGCAAATTGCCTCTCGCTACGAAGTGTGGCAATCAATAGTGGAAGTGCAAAGGTGGTGGCGGAATTTCAACGAACCTCATGCTGTTTTGGATCCAAAAATCATTAAAAAATGTCATTCAATAGTGATGAAAACTGGAACAGCGGCTGATAGCAAAAGAACCGACCGTCCTTCAACATCAAGATCAGAAGAAAATGTCAAAATTGTTCCAGAGATGTTCAGAAGAAGCCCCTACAAATCAACACGTCAAGCAGCTTGTGAGAGCGGACTTACACGGCACACTGTAATGACAGCCCTTAAGTCTCCCGGCTTTCGTGCTTGGAAGCCACATTACTGCAATGAAATAACTCCAGAGGACTGAGATCGCTGGATGGAATACGGAGAGATTATGCTTGGATGGCGTGGAGATTGGTCAGAACTATTTGATAACATTGTCTGGACTGATGAAGCAATTTTTCATGTTGAGGACTTTGTTAACCGTTATAACTGTCATTATTGGGCAGAGTTTGACACCGAAATAACTGCTCAGAAAATGTAAAACCATTCCTAGGTAACAGTTTGGTGTGGTATGACATCAAGGCAAGTTATTGGACCTTTTCTTTTGAGGGAAACAATGAATGGAGAGCGCTATCTCAACATGCTCGAAAAAAGATTTCGGCCAGTTTTGTCAACATTGAAAATATGATATTTATCGAAGATGGAGCACCACTACATCCGAAAATGCTTCCCAGGGCGTTGGTTAGGTCGTCGCGGATCACACAAATGGCCTGCTCGTAGCCCGCACCTAACACCTTGCGATTTTTTCCTGTGGGTTTGGGCAAAGGATGAAGTCTATCGCTCAAAACTGCGCACTCTTGATGAACTGCAAGTAAGAATTCTGCAAGTGCTGACAATTGTACTTCAACAATTTCTACAAAAGTCCGTAGCAGATATTCCAAGACGTTTGCAAAAACTGGTGGAAAATGCAGGCGCTTATATTGAATTCTGAATGATTTTTTTCGATGATGATTTGAATTTTCATAATTTTTTTTATAACTCACATTGTACAGTTTTATTTGCTTAGTGGTTTGACAAATTAATGTAAAAAATAAAAAAAATCTTATAACTAAATAAAGATAGGGAGTTCCTTTTCAACCAGCCTGTAGATTACAAGAATATCTATTATAAGCCATTTAAGCTTTAACTGTGGCACGGAAAAAAACTATGTCCTCTCTGTCGGAGAAAACCTGCGAAGAACCAGCAAGAAACCCAGCGCGACTTTTGTTAAAAGACAGTTAATTTACAATATATAATATATAAGCAAAAATAAACGTACCTATCTTGATTGTAATAAAAAAATAAAATCATTTTTTACATTAACTTGAATGTATTTGCACAGTCTGACCTAAGTAATGTAAGTAAGTAAGTAAGTAATAGTAAGTAATGACAAGGCGAACAGAACTGTCATAATTTTACTCATATGCTCATATAATTTTATTGATGTGAAATTTTATCGTTACACGCATGGCATGAATATTGCACTTTGTGGCTTCCAAATACGTTTAACACCTTTACCCGACTTCAAAAACGAAGAGGTACTCAATTCGACTGTATTTTTTATATAAGTTATCTCAGAACTTTTTTCTAGAGGAACCGATTATGATGGTTCTTCCTTTAATTTAAAAGCCTCATGTAGCTCCATACAAATTTGATCAACATCTTGCTAGTATTTTTTGAATTATCATTAATGATGCGTATTTATATGACTTCGACTACAGTGATGATGTTCTAATTTCCTCAATACATCTCCTTTAAAATAAGAGACGTATTGAGGAAAGGAAAGGACTCTTTAGCCCGATAACGAATCCAACATCCTCACGTTGCGCATTTTCATCACTGGGTCAGTGTTTTGACCGTAGAACAGAATGGCATCAGTGAGCTATAGTTAGAATTCCAGTTACTGAGCAATGAATGCACTATGGTGACTCAAAACTAATAGCACTGACGGAGCTGGACATAGGAATTACCATTTTCTATATTTTTTGTAATAATTTCCTTTAATATAGAGGAATTCTCGGAAGACAAAGTGCAACTTCTTTTGGAAATGACTAATACAGTATTCTTTATAGGAGACATATCATGACTTAAGCTGAAATCATCCGCAAATAACCGGTTTGACATTGACATAAAATAGTAGAGCCACGCTTCAGCTATGGCGAAGGACCATACACTTACAGCCTGACATTGCAGATTGTGGTATTTTTTATGGTAAATTTAGAGAGAACTTGAGAACTTGAGAGCCTTTTTTAGTGGCGACGAGGCATTACATTATAGTTAGTTAATATAGACAGAAAATAATTTAAAATATAAAAATTCGCAACAAAATAACGTATCAGTTAACTGTTTGCATCACGTTAACACATGAAATGTATGTGCAAAGCAAACAGTTAACAGATCACAAAATGTATGTTTCTTATAATATAACATATAAAATGTGACATTTTCATATGGAATGTATTCAAAACTAGACGAATAATTTGAATATATTGCTTTTGTAGACACAAACCATAACACGACTATGTTTTTACCTTTATCTTTTACCCTTAGAGAATTATACGCAAATAATATAAATTGTGACGTGAGAAAATTTATAGTTATGAATAGAAAAATACCAGTTATAGAAGAACACTATTTATCTCTATGCGTCTTATAGATGCTGTTTAAGATGATTTACCCGCATTTTTATACGTGGTAGAGCCATGCTGCAGTTATATTAGTAGTATAGTTGTAACACGAATGGGAACCGGGGCAGGACCACGCTCTCACAGAATACCAGCGTAAAATAGTAGCTAAATGCTACTGTGCTTCGTATGGTGTGTGTAGAGAACTGGAGACCCTTTTTACTGGAAACGAGGCATTCCATCTTAGTCCTCATGTGTGACAACGCATCTGCATTTTGATTTGTAATCAAGGATAGATGTAGATGTCTATGGGCCGCAGCAATTACTTATCATCAGGTGGACTGTGTGCTCGTTTATCACCCTATCCTATAAAAAATCCCGTGGGTGTTGTATGAGGTAAAAGAGGGATTCTGAAGCAGGTGATGGGCAGCAGCATCTTCCTGATAAAGGCTTTAAGATAATAAAAATAATACCAAGCGTGGCAACTATGAAAAATGTACCCACTTTCCCCCCTTATGAGGGGGGCGGCTTTTGTAATGATGATGATAACCATGATGACATATTAATTTATATATATTTATGTTTGCATCTGTATCACGGGTGCAGCACTAATGGGTCCATTTGATGACCACGCTCTCACAGAAGCATAGGTCGGATAGACTTGAGGAATATTCTCTTTTTTTTCTGAAAATGTTTGCTGTTGGTCCAGCGGTCTCATGAGCCATTGATGGCAACGGTACCGCGTTTTGCTGTCGCCGCATCATGGACTGCAGTTCCAAGGCACCCCAGCCCCTGCTGTTGGAGTGAGCTCGATGTGATTCAAGGGCCCCTCTGAAGGAGGTACGAACCTCGGCTTAAACAACTATCGTTATGAGGGAAACGGGTCGTAATTAAAAACGGCCCCGTGGTTGTCTCGTGTACGGGGTGTATCTAGTGTTCTGTACTAGTATAGTATCTGAATGTGTAGGAATATTCTCACATAAGCAAGCGTTTAAAGCAGCTTAATGTTACTATGTTTAGTGCGGTTAGTGGCAAGACGAGAATACTTTTTTACCGGTAACGGGGCGTTCAAGTATTAGAGGTGTCATCGAATTTGCGTTTTGGTTTTATATATTTAAAGGTGTCTATCGACCGGAGCATCTACTTATCATGAGATGTGTGCCTATTCATCGACATTTGTAAAAAATATATGTGATACTTATTAATCATAACTTATATAGGAAAAGGAGAATCATTCGAATCGGCTCAGCTGAGAGCTTAATTACAACGTGCTTGGTTATGAAAGAATACATCATAGGAAATCGGCATGTTGAAGAAATTAAAAATATTTTGAATACTTGTGAAGTCCGCCAACACGTATTGGGGGGAGCGTGGCGGATATTTCCTTGCTCTAAAATCTCAGAAATGAGAGGAGGCCCAGCAGTAGAACACATTTAGAACTTAATTTTACGAAGGAGTAAGAGGCTTGCAGAGATTCGAAAAGAAAAACCAATTTACAATTTATTAATATTTTTCAATTATATAAACATTATAAAAAGAAAAAAAACTATATTTTATTAGAAAACCTATTTTTTCGAGAACCTTAAAAGACTGAAAAGTACAAGAAGTATAAAATATCCTCTAAATCCGTAAAAAAATAGGCGGTGCTGCAGTCCCTCCAGTGATACCAAGTTGACTATCGGTATATCGAATTGCTCAAGTGTTTGTACAGTAGCGTACGATGGCTATTCGAGTATAAAACCAGAGTACGAAACCTATCGAACTGTAGAGAGGTGTAAGGCAGGGTGAAGTTATATCCTCAAAACTATTCACCGCTGCATTGGAAAATGTTTTCAAGCTACTGAACTGAACTGGATGGGGTATTAACATCAATAGCGAGTAAATCACTCACCTTCGATTTGTCTTGATTTGTGATCGACGATATCCTTATGGCAGAATCGCTGGAGGACCTAAGCACTATGCTCAATGACCTCAAAAGTGCTTCCCAACGGATATGCCGGTAGTTTTTCGGAGCACTAAGCTCAAAGTTGTTTACGAGTATGTTTACCTGGGATTAATAGTCTGATTAGGTAAATCCAACTTCAACCGAGAGGTCAGTCGACGGATTCAACTCAGCTGGGCAGTGTTCGGGGGAGGTGGGTCCTTCAGTTTACTTATACGAATAAGTAAGTGGCAATCGGCTGGCCATATAGCTCGAAAAACCGACAATCGATGGGGAAGAAAGGTTTTTCGTACTAGTAGGCAAAGTTTAGAGTGGCTCCCCACTAGATGGGGTAACGACCTGGTAAAATAAATAACCCTTTGCGTTTTCTATCGCATCAACCACGGGGAGTGCTCTAAGGAATTGTTCGGCCATATTTCATGAACGCACGTCGCGTCAAAATTCAAGAAACCATGCTCACCATCTTGATGCTTGTCGGTTCACCACTATGTGCTTTACCTCCTGGTTTCCTTCCTAGTACAACTTCTCTGTGAAATTGTTTACCACCTGCGATTTGTTCGGACCGATACGACTTAGAGACCTTCAAAAAAACAGTTTACTTTTTAAAAGGCCGGCAACTCACCTACAATTCTTCTGGTGTTGCGGCTGTTTATAGGCAACGTAGTCACTTTTCATCAAGTAAGTCACGTGATCGTTTGCCCTGTCTTCTATAAAAAAAGATATGCAAGAAGTCGATATATGCAGGTGGCTCAGAACCGT